ATTGTGGAAAAACAGCATCGCTTGCCTCAAAACCTCAGTCGTGCAGAAAGCAATGCTGTCCACAGCCTCAGAAACAACTCTGACATTATAATCAAAGAGGCTCATAAAGGAGGTGGTGGTGTCGTCATGAACAGGCCTGACTATCTAAAGGAGGCTGCCAGACAACTCTCGAATACCAAATTCTACAGGCCACTTTCCTCAGATCCCACTGAGGGATACACTAAGAAACTGTACCATCTGCTCAGGACACTCCCTATGCAAGCACAGGAACAAATCAACATAACCTTGGAGCCCTGACTGGGGTTATTCTATGTATTACTCAAGATCTACAAACCTGGAAATCCTGGATGCCCCATCATCTCGGGCATTGGCACTCTCACTGAAGGACTGTCTGGATTTGTGGACTCTCTACTCAGACCCTATGCTACCAGCACTCCCAGCTATGTCTGTGACACCACTGATTTCCTGAGAAAACTACAATGCATTGGTAATCTTCCAGAAAACACCATCCTAGCCACCATGGATGTAGAGGCTCTCTACACAAACATCACACACACAGATGGAATACACAAACATCGCACACACAGATGGAATACAAGCTGTCAGGAACAGTATCTTTGATGATGCCACAGCACAACTGGTGGTTGAGCTCTGTGACTTTATCCTCACACACAACTATTTCAAATTTGGTGACAATATATACCTCCAGACCAGTGGCACCGCTATGGGCACCTGCAGGCCCCACAATATGCCAATATTTTTATGGCTGACCTGGAACAACACTTCCTCAGCTCTTGTCCACTCACGCCCCTTCTCTACCTACGCTACATTGATAACATCTTCATCATCTGGACCCCTGGGAAGGAGACTCTGGAAGAATTCCACCACAATTTCAACAGCTTCCACTCCGCCATCAACCTCAGCCTAGACCAGTCTACACAGGAAGTTCACTTCCTGGACACCACGGTACAAATAAGTGACAGTCACATAAACACCACCCTATAGCGAAAACCTACTGACCGCTATGCCTACCTTCATGCTTCCAGCTTCCATCCCGGACACACCACATGATCCATTGTCTACAGCCCAGTACTGAGGAACAACCACATTTGCTCCAATTCCTCTACACAGAGACCAACACCTACAAGATCTTTAACAAACATTCTTGAAACTACGATACCCACACGAGGAAGTAAAGAAACAGATCAACAGAGCCAGACATGTACCCAGAAGCCTTCTGCTGTGGGACAAGATCAAAAAAGAAACCAACAGAACACCGCTAGCCATCACCTACAGTCCTCAGCTAAAACCTCTACAACTCATCCTGGACAACAATTCCTCACTTTCAAAGGCCTTGGGAGGCAGGCTAGTCCTTGCCCACAGACAACCCATCAACCGGAAGCATATTCTCACCAGCAACTATACACCGCACCACAGTAACGCTAACTCAGGAACCAATCCCTGCAACAAACCTTGGTGCCAACTCTGCCCACATATCTACACCAGCAACACCATTGCAGGACCTAACCAGATCAGCCATACTGCCACTGGCTCATTCATCTGCACATCTACCAATGTAATATGTGCCATCAATGCCCCTCTGTTATATACATTGGCCAAACTGGACAGTCCCTATGCAAAAGAATAAATGGATACAAATCAGATATTAGGAATGGCAATATACAAAAACCTGCAGGAGAACATTTCAATCTCCTTGGACACACAATAGCAGATTTAAAGGTAGCCATCCTGCAGCAAAAAACCTTCAGGACCAGACTTCAGAGAAACTGCTGAGCTGCAGTTCATCTGCTAATTTGATACCATCAGCTCAGGATTAAACAAAGACTGTGAATGGCTAGCCAATTACAAAAGCAGTTTCTCCTCTCTTGGTGTTCACACCTCCAGATCAGCTGCTAGAAGTGGGCCTCATCCTCCCTGATTGAATTTACCTCGTTATCTCTAGCCTGATTCTTGCCTGCATATTTATATCTGCCTCTGGAAATTTCCACTATGTGCATCTGACGAAGTGGGTCTTTGCTCATGAAAGCTTATGCTCCAATACATCTGTTAGTCTATAAGGTGCTACAGGACTCCTTGTCACTTTTGCAGATCCAGATTAACATGTTTGAGGTGCGAAGAGAGTGTGTAATCTCTTCACTCCGAAGGCACAATATTTGCCGTTCATGAGTACTTTTAATTCCAGGATAAAAAGATCTCTGGTAGAGATGGCTTGGCTATATGTCAAGAGGGCATGAATTCAGTGGCAGTGAAATGATCTTAAAACCTTCACTTGGCTAAGTGTGAAGTCAAAATTGCAGTAAGGAGCTTTTGCCACAAGTCCAAGAACTCATTCCATTACTTCACTGGATGTTCATGGGACTTGTTGCAAAAAATCCACAAAAAACAGTGCAAAGAAGAATGTCAGTAAATTTTAAAGTAGTAGATAGGTTCTGCCACAAATATTTACTTTGATTTCTGAAGTAATTAGGTGGCACATCCCTAAAATGATGTTGTGATGAGTTCGATTAGTGGCTGACATGGATAAAAGGACTGAGTCAGAAATCTGTATAATCTTTTAAAATATGCGTTTTGTTAAAGAACAAAGAAGCACAAAAGCTGTTGTTGGTGCCTTTGAAATCTTAACATAAAAATGAGGCTTTCCGATCTTTTAAATTGCAGCTTTCATACATTAGGCATGAAACAGTAAATGTGTCAGAGTAACGATAGTATTTTTATAGCTTTCACAAGGTGTTATAAATGTTAAAGAAACAAGTTTAAAAGAAACTACCCTAAATGAGATCTTAAGCTTTCATCTGTGTGATGACGTATGCTGTTTTGTCTGCCAGTCTGCAGATAAAAAAATATTGAAGAATTGAGATCAGAATATCGTGTTGTCACAAACTAATTTGAGTTTATGGGTGCATTATTTTTTATTTAAAGATCACAGCCGTGATTTATAGCAATAGGTTTTCACTTTTCATCACTACTAATTCTTCATGAAATACTTTTGCAGCATATAAACCTAACTTCTTTACAAATTGATTCAGTATTATTGCTGTGTTTCTGAATTCTGTTATCATAATATACAATTTCTAATTCTGCTGACTCATAACCTAGTAGTAGTGCTAAACACATTGACAAACTTAACATTCATTTGCACATATTTTTATGAATTAACATCTGCTTCTTCAAAAATTAAACATGGCTAAAATTATGTACACAGAATTCAGAATAATTTAACGGAACTAAATATGTATAGTTCTGATTCAAGTACATTTTTCAGAAATTTAATTCATTTTACTTGGAAAATTTGATTGTCAGACACTATTTTGTATTATAACATTCATAGTAACCTGAATGGCATTGTGGATGTAACTTCATATTTTGAAATGTTGCTCAAGGCTGGAGACACACTACTGTATTAAGTTGTAAGATATTTCTAAGATGCTCAGTAGAAACCTCTGTATACTCAAAAGCACAAATATGATGATTATTTTGGAGAGCTCAACTGTCTTACCCTACTTCTCATGACAGATGTGATATAGTGGCAAGGTCTCTTATTAAGACTAGGGATGTCACCATGTAGATGACTACATGAGTGACCGATAAGCCCAGGCCTATTCTGTCGACTACACACATTTCGCTCTTGCTGCCTCTGTATTAGCTGGCTCTCCGCGCATGCTGGCTCTGCAGATCTGCCTGCCTCCCCTTCCTGCCTCCTACTGGGGGAGGCAGGAGCCAGCTTAAAACTCCAAGTATCACAGCGATAGCCGTGTTAGTCTGAATCTGCAAAAGTGGCGAAGAGTCCTGTGGCACCTTATAGACTAACTGAAGTGTAGGAGCATAAGCTTCCATGGCAGCAGCCCTTGTCTGACCACAGGGAGCTCAGACAATTTGCAAAGGCTGCTTCTGCATCCCACCGAGCAGTCTCTGTCCACAGGGAGTTCGGCCCCCAGGGGGAGGGGGAAGGGAGGCAGGAGGTGGTGCTGGGCACAGCCCAGAGGGTTTCCCCCAGCACTAGCTCTATAGTGCTGCCTATTCCTCCCACCTGCATCGCTGCCTCTGTCTGCGATCCTTGGCCCTCCGTGAACAGAGGCTATTCTGCGGCAGCAGCCCCTGCAGACAGAGGCTGCTTCTGCATCCCATGGATTAGTCTTTGTCCATGGGGAGCTCAGACTCCCAGTGAACAGGGGCTACTGCCACCTCACGATGCTGCCTCTGTATTAGAAACAGCAACTGCAGGGTGGTAGGCAGGGAGCTGCGCAGGGAGCTGGTTTTTTAAATTTGCTTCCCCCCCATGGACCGGCTCCCGCTTTACACCCCGAACTGCTGCCTCTGTACTAGCTGCTGGCTAGTACATGGAGCTATTGCATAATTGTGTAATGGATAAAATTTCATGTGGTAACATGATTATTCAGTTGCGTGATATCTAACATCCTAATTAAGATTTCATTCAAAATAAATACTAATAAATACCAGCTAAAGACCATTAGCAGCCTGATTGCAAGTGACTAAAGTCAGTTGAAAAGCTCATTGAATTCAGTAGACTTTAAAATTGGTCCAAATTTTGTTTGCTTATGTACATCTTGATCAGAGGTGAAAGGAAGCTCCCACAAGAGCAGGCTGAGCAGTGCAGAAGCCAGCACTGTGCTATTTAAAGAGCTGGCAAGGACCTAGGTTGAAATAGGACAGTACCTGAAAGAAATTTTAAGTTACTTTCACCCCGGTCTTGATTTTACAAGATACTCATTCATTGTGTGAGGATACTGGTTATTGATAAACTAACTAGTTCTTGCAATTGAATCTAGCAGCTCAAACCCTATAGGGACAATATCATCCTCCTTGCTTCATATGCAACTGAGGAAAAGGAGTGAACAGTGTTTAAATTATGGTTGAGATGAAGATCATACATATATTTCCTCTTTGAAACGGTGCTCAACTGAATTATTTTTCTTGAAACAGTAAAAATGTGTTGATCTTCACCATTTTTGGTCCTGCAGACAAAAGCAGTGGGTTTGCTTGATGCAGATATTTATGGCCCTTCAATTCCAAAGATGATGAATTTGAAAGGATATCCAGAATTATCACCAAGTAAGTGTAAATTTACCTATTTTTTTTTATTAAAAATATCTAAAGGGGAATCTGAAGTTCTTAAAATAATTTTCATAATTTGAAACAGTCTTATTTGCTTTAATATTTTTTGTATTTGGTGGTCAGACCTCAATCATACAGTATTTCCTAAAAATCCACCATTATTTTAAGTACTATGTAGAATGACCACAAATATTAAAATGAAGACTTGGAGCTTCCATTTTTGTTTTCTTTGATTATTGTTTGTTGTTCAAATGAACTTGTTTTCAACCCTAACACTTGAAATACATCTAGGGACAAGGAGAAAGGTGTTTATGATAGTTAAAGATGTTGGATATAATACATTTGCCTGTCCCTTCCCTTAATACTCTGGGGCTAGATTTCTAGCCCACCAGGAAGACTTTGGTGGGAGAGTTTCCCTGGGGTAGGGGAAACATCTGCCTGTGTAAAAATAGCTTAGAATATTGGAAGTATCCCAAAATAGCAGCGCCACATCCAAGGAATGAGTCCACTATTTTGAATTTTTTTCACAATAATGAACGTGCTCATTCTATGAGGAATAAGGGATGGCTCAAAAGAGCACTTTTATTTCAAAATTTAGATGTGCTATGTAGACGTGCCAAATTTTGAAATAGCCTCTTTCAAAATTAAATCGAAAAAAGATACACAATTTGCGCTATGCAAATTGCATATTTTTTTTGATTTTAGAATGCAGTCTAGACGAAGCCAGAGAGAAGGCTTGCAATTGTCAAGGCTATGCTGTGTCTCATTGCCCCATGCAGTTTTAATGTAGCTTGAAGTCAGGCAGCTAAGAATCCAAGAGCCACAATCATTTCCTTGGAAGCATTTCCTCTCCAGAGTGCTCAGGTAAGGCTCAGTTACAGAGGAGAATCTTTCTGTAAAACTGCAGGAACAATATGCATTTAGTGATTGTTTTTTTAAAATCCATCATTAACATAAACGAGCCCATTTATGAAAAATTTAAAAATATTTGGCCACAAACAAAACCCATTTCATCACAATAATACTGTCTACTCAGTGATGACCAAGTGCTGTCATCCAACTGATGAATGGACAAAAGGGCAGTACTACCAACATACAAATTGCTGTGGACCAGGACGAAATGAGTTCTCACACACCAATTTTAGCTCAAATGGGTTTCAACTTCACCAAGAATTGTTGGTACCCACAATGTTTTTGGAGAAGAATGGATTGCTTTCACTTTTTATCCATACCATTATTTTTGTGCTTAATATGGAATTGTATTAAATGTCCTTTTTCAGATTGCCAAGTCAAGCACTCAAAAGTTAGTGAGTATGCTAAATGTAAGATTTCCTTGTGACCTTATTTTGCCCCTTTGAGCTTCCAGCGTGCACACTTTAAGAAAATATAGATTGTGATCATGTCATTGAATGTTGTAACACAATGCATATACAGTCAGAGGTAAATGTAAGGTTGCATAGGCAGTTGTGAATTTGGCATTTCTTAACTTTGATGTGCTTGACTTGTCAGTGTAAATAGTATGTTTAATATAAGTTTTATATGTAATTTTCTAGTTTTTTAAAGAAAAAAAGTAAAACTAGGTTGTTTTACGTACATAACTATAAAAATCCCATATAGCACCAGTGAAGTTTGATCCCTGAATTTCTATCACAGGCGTCGGTTGCAAGAGCTAGAAGACTTGACTGTATTAGCTGTCTATTTGAAAAGGCTGTTGTTGCAGAAGTGGACATGAGCTAATAGTACCAGTTTTGGGGCCTATTTTTGGCTTCTACAGAATCCCTGGGAGTGACATTGGGCTGTGAGGTCATATACAGGGTCCAGAAGACTTAGAGGGAGAGTTTGGTCTGACTTGCTCCCCATCTCATCTGATGTGAAGTAGGAATGTAAGCGACTAGTTGACTACCCTATAAGCCTACTCAACTAGTCCCTTTTCCCCCCTCTCCCATTGCTGCTTTTATATTGGAGGCACAAAGGGAATGGGAGCAGGAGCCGGTCCTGGAGAGAGCTGGCTTAAAAGTCAGTTCCCCCAGCACCATCTCCATGAGGCGGAGGCATGCATGGCAGAGGCGCAGCGGGGGAAATGGTGCAAGTGCGGACCCAATTACTATGCCTCTTGTACATATCAAAGGCAGAGATGCAGAAGGATAGTGAGAGAGCCCTCCTGATCAATTAATTGAATAGTCAATGGAATTTCCATTATCAACCACTTGATTAGCTGATTAATTGAAATTTAACATCCCTAATATGAAGTTGCTTCTGCTCATGTGGTACTTTTAGGAGGGGATGGGATGTTGGGGCCTTACATTGAGTCCAGCTCTCTTTCCCCTCATCTCTCCCACCATTGATTCCCAGTTCTGTGTGTGATGCTGTGACAGTGAACAGCTCAATCTGCTACTTTTAACGAAGAAAAGATTAAGTGGTGATTATATGTGTCCACCTGTAGAAAAACTACTTAACAGTAGGCTCTTCAATCCATCAGTGGAAGTTACAACATGTTTCAGTGGCTGAAAGTTGAAACTAGACTGGAAATTAAGACTGGAAATAAGGCATACATTTTTAACAGTGAGATAGTTAACCATTGGAACAGTTCCATCACAGGCCAGTTTAAAATCAGGACTGGATGTCTTTCCAAAAGATATGCTCTATGATAATGGTCCCTACGCTTTTCAGGGTTGTTCCTCTTCTTACCTCTGTCTTTTGCTGCTGAGAGCAGGATCACAGCTCAGAGGCTGGGTTATGAGTGGTGTGTGAACAGGGGTAAGAAGGCCAAGGCTGGGACTGTAGTGTGTGGGGACAGGGAGAGGAAAGCTGGAAGTGGGGCTGCAGCCAGGGGATAAAGCTGAGGGCTGCAGCCAGACAGTATTGGGGGCTGGCAGGGTGCGGCTCTGCTTTGACGAACAGAGCCATGGCCAAGGACTGAGACTGGGGAGGTGGGTGATGGAGCCAAGAGTGTAGCCACAGCTGTGCCACTATGGAGGCCAGCAGCAGGGGCCATGGCTGGATATGGAGCCATGCTTGGGCTGAAGACAGGGCGAGATGTGAGTCTGGCAACTGTGGTTGGGACTTGAGCAGAGCTGGGAGTGGATTGGGGCTTGGGTGGCACTCCCTCTCCACCTTCTATGGGGGCTGGCCCATGCTCTGCTGGGCCCATGCCCCAGAATGATCCTCCCCAGGTCTCCCTATGGAGGTACAGCACCTCACACAGTTGAGGGATCTATGTTGTAGGACTTACCTGTGGGAAGTTCTATTGCCTATATCACAGAGAAGGTCATATTCGAATGAGATTCTCAGACAGAGTCATGACCCTTCAGGAGGGTCATAAGGTTACTATGTGGGGACTGAAAGCTGTCAGCCTCCCCCCCAAATCTCCAGCATCCCTAAGGGTGGGTGGGTGTGTGTGTGTGTGTGTGTGTGTGTGTGTCTATATGTGTATGTTTGTGTTTATATGTATAGGGGGTTCATAGTCAGAGGTTTAATGTGTAAAAGGGGTCATTAATATCCATGAAGAAAACCTAAGAATCTATGAAAAGCATAGAAATTTAATTTAACTCTCAAGATTTAAAGTTTGTTTTTGAAGTAGACTATAAAAAGCATACTAAAATAGCATTGTTTCTACCTTCAATTGAGGAAAAATAAGAAGAATGAGCATTAAAGGTGTCCGCTATTTACCATGTAGGCAACAATTCCCAGTGTCAGTTGGCTGTTTTTAAGGATGGCATTGCAGCCAAAATTGGAAATTGCTGTTTGTTTTTTATTTAACTCCCCGTCATAACTAAATGTTAATGTCTCTCCTTTTTTAAGATTTCCTTATGAATTTGTTGTGATTAATAAGGCTGAGAGTTACAAAATTTTTACTCCCCTCTTTGGTGCATATATATATATTTTTAAACTAAGTGTGTTCTTCAGGGTCCTGACTGAGCAAAGCAGTTAAGCATGAGCGTAATTCATTCCTGTTCAGTAAAGAATTTAACTATGCACATAACTCCTATTGAAGCCACTGGGTTTTTTGCCTGCTGGATTAGGGTCATAGCATTCAGCACCTTCAACATTGAGCCCATAGAGACTGATCCTGTGAAGTACCGATGACCCATTGATTTCAATCTCATCACTCAAGCACACATTGTAGGAATATTGAGGGTGTTGAGAACCTAGTAGGATAAAGCTATTTAGCAGTTACCATATTTCAGTGATGAATAAAATTAATCTCTCTGTATATTTTATGTTTTCAAAATGCTTTAGGGATCCTGGAGATGGAAATGCTCCATAAATGTAAGATATATGTTTTTGTTAAATTACTATGCAAAATCTCAGTAAATGGAGAAGCCTTCCAGTGTCTAATGAGGATATTTATGCATAATCACAGGAAAAGATAGATGTGTAAATGTTAGTTTTGAAATACACCCTTGCATACTAGATATTGGATAGTCTCCCATCTGTGTGGAATGAATATGAAAACTAGCTTCTGCACATATACAGATGCTACTTTATAACATAAATAATATGACTACTTGCTGCTATATATCCTTCAAAATAATTTACCCCAAAATCTCAAATTAACATTCTGTCCTAGGGAACTGAAAAATTTCACTTTGAAAAATTCATCACTAGCTTTCACTAGTTGCAAGAGAGGGGGAAAAAGTGACTGAAATTGACAAAATGGCAATTTGGGCTTATTTTTTGGCATAATGGTAATATTCATTATCCCTCCTTAGTTAATTTAATTTACTATACATCACATTTTTTAGAAAAAAGTATAAATACAACACATTATGAACACAGTACTTCTATAGTACTTCAGAGCTTTATTACCACTTAGTGATGCTTTAAACTATTTGTATATAAAATAGAGATGTAAAATCCCATTGAATAGATTAACTGATTAAAAATAGTTAAACCAGTTAACTGATTAAAGGGGAGAGTGTAGGGGGCAACTCCAGCCTGACTGGAGTGGCCCTCATCCTGCAGCTGCAGGCAGAGGCTTCACCTATAGTACTTCA